TGTATATTATAACAAATATAGCTAAAAAATATGAAATTTAAAAAATCATCAACCCATTTCCATTACGATTTGGAATTATGTTCATATTTCTCCAAACATGGTCAAAATAACTGGGATTCCTTAAATTCTTTAAGTCTAGGAATTGGGTCTTTGAAAATCTGTAGGCTTTAATACGCATGCCAGACACAAACTAATTGAAACTGGCAAACATTTTTCTAATATGTTTGTGTATGTGTATTTAACATTTCTTGTTTGACATTCAGTATTCTTCTACTCTATAACATTCTATTTAATGACGTCATAGTATCCCATTTAAGAATGCATTATACTCCTTTGTGCAGCATAGATATTTTTAAACTCACCTATAGCAATTTAAAGCTAACAGCTAACAAGTACTTACAAACAGAAGGTCTTGCTTTAATTAGCAGATAAGATCTGAGAATTATCAGCATTCATTTACATGCAAACAGCAAATGAGCTTAAGTCCTTAAAACAGTTTGTTCTGTTAATTGAGCTAAATATATTCCTGAGCAATCTCATGTGTGCAATTAATTTGCCAAAAAAAAAAAAAACAACCAAAAAAATCCAAAACCATAAAACAAAAACTCAACTGATCACAAATTTTGAATAAATAAAGTTGAGGTGAATAAGATGCTATTTCATCTGTGAAAATAAATAGACTACAATGTCCTAAATAATTTTTTCCTGACCTGAACTTGGTTATTTTTCAGTAAGGATCACTTTCTGTTAACAATAAGAATGTGAGATATACCCTCCAGGAACAAAGATGAATGGCCACAGAAATTGTGCTAAAGTACATTTTAAAAATTATGTTCTAATCATGTTTAATATATTTCTATTTAGGTTGACAATTGATGCTGAGTGCCAATTACAGTTGCACAACTTTCCAATGGACGAACACTCCTGCCCGCTGGAGTTCTCCAGTTGTAAGTAGTATTCTTTCTATATTCTGTACCCCTCACACCTATAGTCTTTCTGATTGCAATGTTAATTGATTGGGAGAATCACAGAGAATTACAAAATTACATTAAGCTCTGTTGTTGACTTTGAAGATTTTGACAGTCTCTTTCATCATAATCCCAACTTGTCCCTATTACGGAGATCCGTGTAAAAAAAAAAAAAGGAAAAGAAATCTGTCTTATCAGAAATTGCAAATAGGTTTCACTGGGTTGCAACTTTTAATAAATCAGCAATGGTTGCCTGGAGCCCTTTGTTGAGATAAATTGTAAAGCTGGGCCTGGACTCAACAGAAAGGGTGCAGAGGTTGATTATTCATCTGCTACCCACTTCTTCCCATGGGCCCAGGAGGGGAGCAAAGCAGCACATCGCTAGTTAAGACCTCTTCCATACCAGCATTGTTTTGTTAATATAATAAAGGTAAAATGTTTGGTATGTTATCTGACACAAAATAAGACTCAATAAAATGCACTATTACTTTTAATTAATTATTATTATTACCAGATAGTAGAATATAGCAAGAGAATCTGTGATAATTCTAACACAGATTAGGCATTAGTAACCTTCACAGATGTTTCCTGACCTAACCAAAGACAATCAAGCCTCAGTTTCTGAAAATCTTTGCCTTACTGTGTGTTCAGCATCAACATTAGGTCACTTACCTCTTCATTATTTTTAGTCTGCCAATTATGTATATTAGGTACAATAAAAACCTAATTATGGATTTTAAAATTATATTTTTATAAATATAATTTCCCAGCCAGGGAGTCAAGGAGACTCCTAATAACCAACTGAATGATAATAACCATAGTGAAAAAAGAATCATTGACTAGTGGAGCAATCACCTGTTAATCATTACATCAATTCCAAAGGAAACAGAGGAAAAATATCACTGTACATCACATATATTTGGAAAAGTTCCATTATTAGTCTTTGTTTATGTTTTACTTCATCCAAGAACAAAACATATTTAATTATAAAGTTAATTCTCTAAGGATCTTCTTTTCTTTTTCCTCACTCCTTAATTAATAAACATATAATAGACAAAGAGTTGAGCCAAAAGGAAAAGAAAGGAGGAAATATACAATATTTTATGCCAAGTAGTCAATCAGCCTCCATAATCAAGACATGGCGTTATTAGACAAATAGCTGGGAAGATACCTAATTTGTATTTATTTATTTTTATTTGAAGTTCATTCCACAGTTTACTTAATAATAATGTCTATCCACCTATCAAACATAAACTGACCATCAATTTAATGAGATAAGTACTATTATCATCTCCATAAGGAAGCAAATAACTTAGAAGAAAAAGATTAAGAAATTTGCCAAGGGTATTATGGCTAGGAAACAGTACCCATAACCATTACTTTATCCTGTAATACTTCTTTCATGAAGACTTTCTGCTCTCTTGTATCAAACTCACTGGTATTTTCCCCTTGGCATTTTTCCTTAGTGCTTTAAATTATGTATTCCTATGTATGTTAAGATGAGAGTCCCAATAAACTAAGAGAGAGATAAAATGTTAAGTAGTTGAGCTTATTTTTTTCCAAATATATCTTCTACTCTAACTGCTTGCCCTAAGAGGGATTTGAGTCTGCTCTTTCTTATTATTTTCTGTTTCTATATGACTCTCAAAATCTTGCCTTATTGACTGTGAAACAGTATCTTGCATATTTACTATTTATGACATACTGATCACTGTTTATATATTACTGTAGACAATGTAAAGTATGCATATAGCATATCTGAAACCATGTAGAGTATACCTTCCATGCAATTTAAGTGATTTTTAAGTCATTTTGACCTCTGACTTTTGCATATTACTTCCCATTATGATGTGATGTCATTGTATTTATTTCCCTTACTCTAATGACCTTTCATTGAGGATCCTTATCTAACTTAGACGTCTCTCTCAGTACTTATCTCAGCATCTTGTTCATAGAAGTAGTTGCTACATATGTTCATTTATAATTATTTTTAATGTGAGCTTTCCCATCCATGGCAGATGGCTATCCACGTGAAGAAATTGTTTATCAATGGAAGCGTAGTTCTGTTGAAGTGGGTGACACAAGATCTTGGAGGCTTTATCAATTTTCATTTGTTGGACTGAGAAACACCACGGATGTAGTGAAGACAACTTCTGGTAAGATTCACTTGAAAAGAATTCTGAGGGATACTTCCAAAGTTAAAATTCTGGTGTATATGATTCAGAAAGCTTGTCAATATGTGTCTACAAATGATCTTCAGAAAATTAAATGAAGTGTTTAATTTTCTAGAGAAAATTATACTTGGTATTCTAGTAGAATGGATAAATATAAATAGATTCTATCAACTTGAAACAAATTGGATTCAAATTGGATTAGTAGATTATTTTTTAATTTCTTTAAGCAAAAAACTGGTAGTGATTATTAAAAAAAAGAAAATATATATTAGGTTAAGTTTATTGCTCTTTTTAGGAAATGTGTTCTATAATACGTTGAAATAGCAGCATTTAAAATAATTACACAGGGAAAATGAGCTTTTCAAAAATGCAGAAAAGTTACCATAGTGGGTATGAACTCATTTTCCATTCAGTAATTTAATACTTCAGACTGGCTCCAACAATGGATAAGAGACCAAGCTCTGTGTATCACAGTGACCTGTATTCAAATCCCTACTCTATCAGTTGTCAGCTATAGATACTGGGCAAATTTATTGAAACCCTGAGGAGATCAGCTTCTCCAGACACCCAGTGCATCACAGGGATGTTGTCTGTATGAAAAAAAAGAAAAAATAATAATAATAAGTAAAATGCTTTGAATGATACCTTGCAATGTTTGAACACTCAATCAATAGTAGCTCTTACTAATATCAGTTACAATTATCAGGTGTGAATGAGGCATCATGTGGTCAGGACTTTAGATTTTTCAAGAGAAGCTAAAAGTCAATATTTTTTATGAAATCTCATGATTTTTAATGGTATTAATTAATTGATTTAAAACCCCAAGTGGGCCAAGTTAGACATTTCCAGACCAGATCTATCTTATGGGTGGGCAGTTTGAACCCTCTGCAATGATGAATATACACTCCCTGCAGGTTATTCCAACTACTCCTTTTAAAATATGTAAATTTAAATGTGTCCCCATTTCAAATATAAGCATTGTATCATCAGCTTACCATTTATTAAAACATATCATTTGAAATCTTTTTCCATGAGTTGAGCTGTTTTTTATTGGTTGAGTCACACGTACGTGACTTTTATTTTTCTAGAAGTTACAGGACAATGTTTTGTGCTGAATAATTTGGAATAAGGTCTTGTTCTATTATTGCACAGAGAGAAGCAAATTAAGGACCTACGCAAAGTTTGAAAATTTAAGATTCTATCTTAAACACCATTTTCTAAATCCAAGAATTATCTTGTCTTAACATTGTTTTCAGCATTTGCGAGTTTCTCCCAAAGGTTCTTTTATTTTGCCAGAAGAATCTGAAAGAAGGTCAAAGTGATACTCAAGCATAGTTTCGAAAAGTGGCTTTATGTTCCCTTATTCACAAGAAATCTTGATCAAATGCTACAACAATCTTTCATTTGTTCCAAAAGAAGAACAAATGTAAAAATAATCTCCAATTCTGCATGCTTTGAGAATGAGAAATCAGGCAGTAAGTTCTGTTGTATATTCATATTTCTATAATTATTCCCACACCCTAAAACAGAAGGCACAATCTCATGATTAGCACATTTTTTGTTGGTCGTTTCGAGCCCAGAGTGGTATTAAGACCAAATGGCGGTAGTGGAAAGGTTGGTTTTCCATCATAAGGTCTAACATTACCCTCTCTCCAGGGCCGCATATTGAGAATGATCTAGGGTATTCACTGTCTATTAAAATATATTTCCAGGAGAAAATTATCTATTTACTTGGAGCATGGCAAGGAGAATTATCAAGGTCCCATAAAGCTATGAATCTTCCTAAGGAAATCACAACAAAATTGTACTGAAATAATACTAGATTTGATACTGAGTAGCATCATTTAACTGACCTCATCAATTCCTTTGTGAATTTTTTTTTTTTTTTTGTCCTTTTTGAGACCAGCCGCACCGTGCTCAGCCAGTGAGCTTTGTGAGCGCACCGGTCATCCCTATATAGGACACGAACCTGCGGCGGGAGCGCTGCTGCTCTCCCAGCGCCGCACTCTCCCGAGTGCGCCATGGGCTCGGCCCTAAATATTCATTTCTTTTTTTTTTTTTTTTTCCTTTTTGTCTCTTTTTTTGTGACCGGCAACGGATCGCAATGAACCTGCGGCGGGAGCGCTGCTGCTCTCCCAGCGCCGCACTCTCCCGACTGCGCCATGGGCTCGGCCCAACTCCTTTGTGAATTTTAATAAGATGGTTAGCCTTCACATTGGTCTTTTCCACTCCTTGCTCATACCGGTTTGTATTTGTGTGCACTACCATTTCAATGGCCTCTGTGAAGAGAAAGGGCTGAATAAAAAATTAGCATGAATACTGAGAGGCAACCTGATTAATGTGACAATTGATATTATAATCATTGGAAGTTTCTGACATTTGTTGAATTTCTGATGCCATTCTTACCTCTGAAGCATAGCACCATAACTAGGTAATATCTACAAAGTTACATTAACAATATTCTTGGGAAATTATCAGAAGTTCAAATTACAAGTCTTCTGAATCTTAGCCATTACTATTACATGTTTTTTTCCTAGATTTTTTCCTGGATTTCTAGTAAATGTACTCTTTTTTTAAAAAAAAAAAACCTCTGTTGTAACTGGGAAAGAATATTGCCTGAAATGTGACATAGCTTAGTGTAGAGTTTTCTAACCTTCATTCATTCATTCAAGCTTAGTTATATCCAAGTGACTATTATACTGCTGGTTTCTTACTATTTTTTTTTCTTCAAATTAATTGTTTTTAGTAAAATGAAGGTTTTAAAAAATAGGAATGTTTGTATTAGGACCACAATTGGAAAACCAGAGCATTTGACATAAATAGATGTTGATATAAAGATACAGTTTTTAAAAAATTCTTAAATTTTGTGTTCCCCAGATTCTGAATGTGTTGAAAGGAGACAGAGAAGGAAGAGAGCTATTAGAGATACAGTAAAGTCCAACTACCAAAGTAAAACCTTCTCCTTGATGTAAACAGGACAGTAAAAGCATTTCACAGGCATTCTCTCACCAGATTAATTTAACACTATTTGATATTCTTACATCCACCACCTGAATCACGTTTTACTACAAGTTTTATCTGTACCACACTTGAGGAAAATATTTTCTTGGTGGTAGATTGATAAGACTTGAAGAATACCTTTAATTTATAGCAATATATTGGAACATTCATGCTTTCTTCTCCAAGCCATCATCTCTTTCTTATAGCTCTATACTGGGAAAACCACCGCTATTGCCTCCGTGAGTTAGGCATGTACACTCAGAGTCATGTCCCTGCCTCCCACATCTAGTAAATCATGAAGGCACTTATGCCTGTGAAATAACTTGTGTAACTGTCCTCCTTTCAGTTGCCATTGCCTGTGTCCTAGTTCACAATCTTGTCTGTTCTTATCTGGACTGTGCCAGTGGCCTATTAAATAATGTCCCTGCTGTCAGTCTCTCTTTTTAGAGCCTATGCTTCACACATTAATCATGAAAGCTAGCTTTTACTGAGCACTAACTACATGCACCATAGCAAGCACTTTGAGTAGATGGTCTAGTTTAATTCTCATGACCATAGTCAGATTCACTATTAGCACCAATGATATCACTGCAGGTGAGAAAACTGAGGCTTCGAGGATTCATTCAGGGATCAAGTGCCAGCACTGGGATATAAATTCAAGTGGTCTGCTCCCAGACTCATGCTCTTGAGAGCTACACGTTTTGCTTCCCCCTGTGGACCAATGAATCCCTGATGCACAACTATCGTCAGGTCTCAAGAATTCAGTAGGTTCAATGAAGCACAAGCTATTGTTCCTAATACGCAAGAACCTTATCTCAGCAAATTTCCAGCATCGTTTTCTATAATTTCCCATCTTATGAAAGAACAGATCTGTTAATATTTTTCTGACTTCAACTGATCGTCAGGTCTCAAGAATTCAGTAGATTCAATGAAGCACAAGCTATTGTTCCTAATACGCAAGAACCTTATCTCAGCAAATTTCCAGCATCATTTTCTATAATTTCCCATCTTATGAAAGAACAGATCTGTTAATATTTTTCTGACTTCAACTGGCCAGTCCTATGCCCACATGGAATCTCAGTTTCCTTTTTCTTTTGAATAGCTTTTTTACTCATTTTGTATCATCTCATCTCTTTGACTTCAAAGCTTAAATAAATGGGACCTCCTGAATGATTCTTTTACTGATCTTAACACCAAAAAAGGTGTAATTCTTGGATCAAGAATGTGTACTCTTGGAGTCAGGCAAGTTAGGTTTTTAATACTATATTTGCCGCTCGTTGGTGGTATGGCTTTGTAAAAATTATTTAATATATCTGAGCCCAATATAAACAATATCACAGGGTTGCTCTGTGGATTACATATGATATTGGATTAAAAAATGCTTAAAACTGTGCTGAGCACATGACAAAGACAGTAGATAAGAGGCAATATGATTACTATTGTTGTTATCATTATTATTACAATAACTCTCCTCAGGGCATTTTCATCCACCTCATGAGAACATAATTTCCACCTTCTGTTCCTTGGCCATTTGTTTTACTCCCCAACCACTGGCTCCTCACTTCACTGAGTCATAAGTCTCACAACAGAAGTCTTCTCTTTTTCAGGCCTATTCAGGCTATTAGCCTGATGGCTTGCCTAGAGTTGATTATAGATAATGGTTGTATTGATTACTTGTGACAATTGTATTAGTAGAATTGAATATCTTTCATCAATTAAATAACTAATGAAGAATTCTATTAGAGATTTGTCCATTGCTCCCTGTTTACTCTAAAAGATTTTATTCTTTCTGATTACATTACTATGGCCAATTCACCAAATTTTCTCCATATTTTTTAGTACCAAGCAGAACTTTATGTTCTCCTGCATTCTCCTCCTGAGAGGTGGGTTAAATGTGTTTCTTAAGGGAACCTACATTCTAGGGATCTAAATGCTATCACAAGGATCAAAAATAAATGTATCACATTCCTCTATATTAGAATATCATTAAAGCTACCATATTGTTTTTAGAAATGCATCCACAATGTCAGTGTTTCATGAAACATCTTCATAATTTTTCAGCATGTCCAAGTACATTAGCTGTTATTTACTTTTTTGG